GGTAGTGTTAACCTGGCTTACTATGTGTCATCGTGCTTCGACATAGATCACAGGCTACCAACCACGGGTTATCGGACCTTGGCTGGATTGTTTATAGAGGGCGTAATGTAGCTGTAATAATGCTGACTGTGACGGTAAACAACGTTCAGTCACTGTTGCAACACTGAGTGAGTGAGTGAGTTTAGTTTTACGCCGCACTCTGCAATATTCCAGCTATATGGCGGCGGTCTGTAAATTATCGAATCTGGACCAGACAACCCAGTGATCAACAGCATGAGCATCGATCTACGCAATTGGAAACCGATGACATGTGTCAACGCAGTCGCAGCGAGCCTGACCATCCGATCCCGTTAGTCGCATCTTACGACAAGCATGGGTTCTAACCAATTATAACCCAGATCCTTACGGGTCTGTTTCAACAGCTTGCTGGAAACAGACCACACGAACAGCCATAGCATGACTCCGTGTGGGGAATCGAACCGGGCTTTTGGGGTGACGAGCTTACGCTTTAACCATTAGGCTAATCCACTGCCTGACTCTGCGATGAAATCCCAGGGAAAGACTGAATGTTTATGAAGGACATAATCCAGGGACGGACAAGCAAACGAAAAACACAAAAGCGGTTTCGGGAGTAAATTTCTTTAAAAACAAAAGATTGACGGAGATCAGTGTAGACAGTTTATTATTCCGTCCAGTATTCGAGCTGACGGAGGTTTCTAAATTAATGAGCCCAAAATTCAGTGATTGATATTATGAGCAAAGATTCCAAAATGCCATGCAATTAATCTGTATATTTCCAGGGATAAATAGCAGTTTTATTTCTATAACGACAGGTATATTGAAGACTAAAGCAACCCACTCGTGACATAATATTGGAATTCATTTCCAGTATAAGTAGTATATCTACACCACACCCTTGGGTGAGGGATTGGTTCAGGAATCGACATATCCCCGTGTTCAGGTTAATGTGACGCTTGCCGCTGACCACCGGGTTCGTATACAAGTCTTTGATTCCACAACACATTGTGTGTGCGCCTAGCAACTGCAAGAACACCCTTATAAAGTACAGTGCGCAGTGGGCAATGCGACAGAGTGAGTGAGTTTGCTGTAACCCTGCTTTTAGCAATATTCTAGCAACATCACGGAGGGGGACACTAGAAATGGACTTCACGCATTGTACCCATGTGGGGAATCGAACCCGGGTCTTCGGCGAGGCGAGCGAACGCTTTAACTACTAGGCTACCCAATCGTCCCCTATACATCAAGTACACACTTTAATCTCCCCGTATAAATTCCTATTTAGGTATTCAGACAGGTAAACGAATAAAATACGGCTTGCATCCTTAACGGGGAGGTGCTTTGAGGCACTGATCCAGGTGGTCAAAATGATAGTAAGGGACTGTTATAACTACCACCTGATCTGACATGGCTGATACAATCCTTTGCAAACACAAGATAAGCACGGGGCAGTTTTCAGTTAGATATTACTAACAGTGACGTTTCTGTTTCTGTCGTTAGAGATTTGTTACCTACGGCCCTGGAGTTAGGTTGATTTTACGTCGCTTTTAGCAATATTCCAGCAATATCACGGCGGGGGTGGACCTCTAAAATTGGCTTCACGCTTTGTACCCATGTGGGGAATCGAATGTCAGGTTCAGAGGGGAGTTAGTTAAAGACTGGAATGACTGTCTTTAAATTTCTGAACAATTTTTTTTGTGTGTACATGTTAATTGATCTATGGAATGTGACTCCAATATGACTTGTGAATTAATCAGCTTCTAAAAAATTATGGGACTATAGCTTTTAAATTTGTTAACCGGGTCATTGCGTTTTAAGTAACTAAACGCCCTCTGCCATCTCTACGTGAAGCAGGTTCGCATCTGTTCACATATACTCAGCAGCAAAAAAAACCGTCAGTACGAATTCAAAATTAGATAGGCACTGTAATCAAATCATTACAGAAATGGACATAATAAGCGGATCAAAAACATTTTTATGTGTACAATATCTTGACACATCAATGAATAACTCAGCACAATATCAAGACATTACGTGAACGCTTGCAGTCCATTCAGACTCTTGACTTCACTATCTAGTGTGACCACCACGAGCGGCAATAACTGCAGCACAGCGTCTATGCATGGAGTGCACCAATCGATCGATGAAGGCCATTGGCACCTGGAACCACACTCTGAGAAAGGCCTGGCGCAATAAATCGTCTGTGTTCGGCCTTGGTATGACATTATTCAGTCTCCTCTGAATTTCATCCCAAAGATGGTCAACTGGGTTTTAATCAGACTAAGGGCTGGCCACTGCATAATGTTGACACCGATCTGCTTTTGGAAGTACCGTGTAGCTCTGGCAGTATGGGCCCGGGCGTTATCATGCTGGAAAATGTTGTTCGGGTGACGTGCGAAAAGTGGTATGACGTGGGGTCTGAGAGCTTGGTCGATGTAGCGCACCGCTGTGATGCCGCCTCCTCTCCCTGGACCAAGGTTCTGGAACACCACAGGACCCACTCTCTGGTTCAGGCCTTTTCCACCCCATACAATGATGCTTGCACCTCCCCATGAGTCTCTTTCCATAACACATTGGTCTGAGTAACGCTGGCCACGCCCGTCGCCATATTCTTGTTCTGCCATCTGCAGTTGATACGCAGTACCGACTCTCATCTGTGAACAGAACAGTTCTCCATTGCCTGTATCGCCAGTTTTGGTGTTGTAGGGCAAACTGTAGACGTTCACGCCGATGACGAGGGGTGAGGATAGGTCCACGGTAAGGTCTACAGCAATGGAGGTTCCCACTGTTTTAAGACGTCGGCGTACTGTATCAGTACTGAATGGTCTTCCGTGTGTTCCCACTGTCTGGCGTGCTGTTTCAGATGCCTGCATGAAGGGATTCTGTACATGCTGTCGCACAACATGGCGGTCTTGTCGTCTTGTGGTGACCCTTGGTCTTCCCGTACGGGGGCGATCATTTGTGGTGTTGGTGGCCCGGAAACGTTGCTGCAGCCTGTAGAAGATCCGAACGTTGACCTGGAAGTGATTGGCCAGCTTCAAGTCTTCCTAGCGCCTGGTTTCTCTGAGCTGCCGTGAGCCGCGGCATTCTGCTGACCTTGTAATGTGAATGTTTCAACCAGGTTTGGGGGTGCATCTTATAGGGCTGGTCCTTGCATGAGCACCTGCAGCATGAGTTGCATGAAAAACATGGAGAACACCGTACCATCTCCGAGATCAGGTTGCGTTTTCGGACCATTCCTGGGTTCAATTCTGAGTTTGGGAAAGAATGTCTTTGCTCAGGTAAAGTTGGAGATGTTGTCAAAAATATACATTCAAAACATTAAATGAGTTTACAATTATCCGTTTCTACGAAGGAAAATTCCAAACTGACGTTTCTTTTGCTGCCCTAGTATATATAATGTGGAGAAGTGCGGAATCATGTACTGTCCAGAGCAGGGGGAGATAACTCTGAATCTCATGCACATCCTCGGTAATGGAGGTTAGGGAAGTGCCTGTATAATATCCTTGTGGATAGGATTTTCGGACACTTAAGAACATCTGTTGTCTCGATTATAAGAACATCTGTTGTCTCGATTATCGCATGAATAATTGTAAACAATATCACTTATTAATAAAATATATCATTCAAGAATTTACAATGCCTATTTGACGCAACACCTCGTTGTTGCCCCAATAAGCACTGTCGTATGATGTCCGAATATAATCGATATTCCATTGGGGAACAAGTCTTTCTCAGAGAGGCTTTATACGGAAATGGATCGTATGGAATATGTTACATGTCAAGCACATGATAAACACAAAGACATCTGTATACAATAATGCTTTATTTGACTGAAATCCCTATCTGACAAGTCACCACTGCTGACGGGACGTCAATAAACAAGTTTCTCTACACCATGGCTGAAGGAGCGACGAGTAAACATTGGACATACTGACATTCATACTGTCAAAAATAGTCTTTCACAAACAAATATGAATGTCTCTGAATAAAGCACATGTTGCTTCTTAGTGATGAGAACTTTCAAGATATAACAGACTATATACAACTATGCATGGTATATTTGAAAATACATGTTTCATGTTACTGAGGTTACTGAAAGAATTGTTTTAAAGTAGATTGCTTTGAATAGAGTGACAGTAAAATTCTGATATAATATATATCATGCATAATGATTGAGTCTTGTACTGGACATGTTACAGATCAACACTACAACTGCATAGCAAACAGGTGGGCTTTTTATGGAGTGAAAATTACAATCATTCATCAAAATATATGGTTCTCCACGTTACATCCAAATACAACAATTATTCCTATTCTATAATAATGAGGTCACTTTAGAAATATTTTCTGATACTAAGAACATGACTTGCAGTGCCATAAAAAAAAGTTGTGAGGACCATCAAAATCACAATATCAACACCAACAGGTGCAAAAGCCGGACGTATTGCTCTGAAATTTAAAAATTTACCGCATGAGTTAACTGTTCACATCTCAGTTGATGAAAGTGAGGCCACACTGTTTTATACTTTCCAGTTCACAGATCAATCAACAAAAGTGATAAGCTTTCAACCCCAAAATAAACAAAATGGCAGTAATTTAATTGCCTACTCAAAAGTGGATTCAGAAAATAGGGCTATAAATCACAGCAGAAATGATAACAATATTTACATAATAACTGGCACAGTATACTGGTATAGATAGTAAAACGTAAATCTTAAACAGATTTAGCGTTAACTTTCTGTCATGTTAAACACAAACTTTACATGTTTCTAATCTATAAAAAATTCAAATCTTAAACTGAACATTACTTTTATAGAAACCAACAAAGGCTTAATATATTTATCAGACCATTAAAACAGTGTGGCCTAAGTTAGATAACTTTTCAATCATGGGATTGTTCAAGGCTATGGATCACTGAATCACCCCAGGGGAATATTTGAGTCGCGTGAAACTAAACCAGAAAGAAAGAAAGAAGATAACTTTTCAATCATGGGATTGTTCAAGGCTATGGAGAATCACCCCAGGGTTTACTACATGACAAACACACCACTCTGCAACTCTACCACCTTCAACAGTGCAATGAATACCAACACCCATCAAGTTAACTGTGTTCAGAAAGCCTACATCAGGAATGCACAGATGTGTGGTCAGTCTACATTCACCATCCTTTAAGTTGAGGAGTAGTCGAACGCTGGTCGATATCAGCAAACAAATAAATAGCCTATAAACCTGGAAAACACATTAATATCTACCCATCACAGGATAGAATTTAGCTTGTAGTTAACAACAAAAGATACAATAAAATAATCCAAAAGCATTTAAAGTCACAACCAAGCAGACTGAACATATAACAAACTAATGCTAAAACAACCAATAAATAAGATTAACAGACCCTGCAGCAGCACCTAGTCAGCTAGCCGTACATCCAGTGATCATATTAAAGCTCTATGAGTGCTACAGCTGTTTCTTAACCACTGACACCACTTGATCTGGATGATTCTAAGTCCATCTAGTGTTCTTGCTTGGACTCATAACATTTCTCTCAAAAAAAATAATCTAGTGGTGTGACCAGTCTAAAATCATGAAACAATCATGACAGTTGTGCATAATCTTTCATCGTCAACCCCCTGAACATTCTACAGCAAAATTTTCATATTCAGTGACAGATTTGTACTTCTACTCCATCTATAACAAAGGAAATAGGATTTCAAAATGGACAGTTAACATAGCTTACTTTGAAATATCAACTTCATTTCCCTTCGACAAGTTCCAAAAGAACCATAATTAAATGGTTAAATTAAAACTGGTTGAAATGCTTATCATCATAACATATGCCCCAAAATATTCTAACAAGTATTAAAAGAGTTGAGGCATAATTTTAATGGTTTCACACTTTTCATTTGAAAAATTATGTCTATGATTTGAGAATATTTTAGGTCAATAACAGACAATCCACAGTAACTAATATGAAACACACAAACTATCCTGCCGTAAAGGTTGACCTATAAGGTTGTATTTCAGTAAAACACTCCATGAAGTCTTACTGGTCAAGGAAATGTTCAATTACAAAAATAAAGTATGCTAACATGATCTTAACCAGATGAACTCAACATAATATATCATATTCTAATACTTGCTGTTTTGATTGAATAACAAACCTGATAATAATGCCAAGCAACTGCACAGGTACATCTTGATGGGGATATGAAGAAATGAGACTGGAATGAAACCTGTTTGGAACTGAACACAGTAAAATAGTAAATGATAATAACAGAAAGTATGATTAATAAAATATTGGCATCCATACATACCACAGGTTTAAATATTAGATGGTCTTCATCCAGATATAATTTGGCATTATATGTATGTTGTTGTAATTTCCACTATAGCACTTAAGATGGAGAAGATACTGATTACAGGGTTTTCAGAATACTGTACAACTCTACCACAATATTGAGAGAGAGGAAATCACATTATATACATCACATTGCACATATCATATAGATGTTTATAATCACAGTTTCGTTTCCTGATTCATGCCTCTCTCACCAGTAACAACCTGTAACAACGCAGTCCCTGTCACCTCTATACATACATGGTCAATATCAGACCGAGATACTGGACATCTCCCATATAACAAAAAAAATTCTGATTAATTTCAATCATAATTTGTACCAAATATTTTGAAGATATGTGCACCAATAAGATATGACTGCATACTTATTCTCCTAATAAGTTGGTTCTGGGTGTATATCATACTCTGTCAAAAAGCTTGTCTATGAAGACAACCCATTGGTCCATGATTAACTTAGAGAAGGAAGATCCAGTGAAACCCTGTTGGACAAAGTTCAACAAAGCAATACAAAGGTTACCCTAATACCCCTGACTTACTCCTCAAGTCAAACCAACAAACCTGAATATAACTCTGGGTCAACTTGCAAAGGACAATTTGGGAGCAGATCCTTGAATGAACAAGGGGGCTGTGGGGTAGCCTAATGGTTAAAGCGTTGGCTCGTCACGCCGAAGACCCGGGTTCGAATCCCCACATGGGCACAATGTGTGAAGCCCATTTCTGGTGTCCCCCGCCGTGATGTTGCTGGAATATTGCTAAAAGCGACGTAAAACCAAACTCAGTCAGTTGAATGAACAAGACTCCTTTCCATGATAGATGACAGATTACCTCAGTCAATAGACCTGCTTATGTAGCTAGACACAAATGGATAATATGCAGCAATTCTACCAATGGCTATGGTTACAGTATTACTTTTCATCTTATACATACTCCACTAAATATGTATTTTGTTTGTTAACAAATTCTTTCAAATAATTCTATTTAGAAAGGGTTACAATATTATTCACAATTTTAAGACACAATCAAAGTAAACATTATAAAGGTGACTTCATAAGTAACAGATATTAGCTGACACTAATACATGTATTGTGCGTCAGTCAAACAAAAAAGTACAGTCAATCCATAACATACAAGTCTCCATGATCATGATCATATGGGAAGCACCACTGCTCAACCAAAACCAGACCTCAGAGACAATATAATGTGATAGCCAACAATGTTGTCTTTGCAAGTTGCAAAATGTCTTGCAAAAGGAAAGCTGGTTGCCTAAATGCTTCAGAATATGACAAAGTTCATGGTGACCAAAATACAGCATTCCTACAGGGACCAACTTGACAGTGGAGTGTGCTTTAAATGACTCAGTGCAATCTATAACTGTGGGATTTACAGAATGAATTCCACATAAACTAAGCGACTCTTATTGCCTCTGTTGTACATGACCTTAGTTGTACACTACTGAATACACAAGACTGAATGAAGAATATTGATGGATTACCTTAATGAATAAAGATAGTACTGGTAAACAAACTTCAGAATTCAGGGCAGACCAACTGAACATGCAGCTACCAATCTCATTAAAATCAGACATTTCATTCAGATTCCATATAACCCACTCTCTAAAGATCAGATCCACCTTCACCTGTCATGTCAATTAAACATTTTTAAATACGAATCAGATACTTCACTGGTTCAAAACGAGTATTGAGAATTTTAAACACTGACAAAGTTCACTGAATTAGACAAATGGAGAAGGGTTTGTCAGATCTTCACACAGAGAGTGTGTTGAACTGAAGAGAAATATTTAACTCTAATGAGATTGAGACCGCAACAAAAACGTCCCTAACAAAATATCAGGTACACAATGCCAACTCTTCATTTTTCACAGTGCTGTTGTAATGCACACACAAATAATGTGGGTAGCTCACTCTTCCCAAACTGCCAGTTTCAAATTGAAAACAGGCTTGACACAAGCAGTCACATCTGAGTAGAGGCTCAGAAATGTCAAATTGTCACCCGGGCATTGTTCCTATAGAAGGAATCTTACAATTACAACATATGTATTTCCCATTCTTTAACATAGGCTTCTGACTGCCTAATGACACTCTCCTTGCCCTGTTGATTGGCGAGATATCAGTTACAGACAGGTGTGAACTCCAGCACAGAAATACTCTGTGATCTTTGAGTCTGTTGTTAATGTACCAGTACTAAAGAATCCTACCTACAAGCTATAGACTAATCATCAGCCTGTCTAAGAGGGAACATGAGAACTTTAGATGTCATAAAGGAGAGGATAGGCAGTGAGTCTATTATCCGTCCCGCCTCCTCTGAGAGATGCTCCTCACGGCGCCGCTTGGTAGTGGTCGTCACCTTCATGTTCTTGAGGACATCTTCCAGGGGAGGTAAAGACTTCACCGATGACCGGGGTGCATCCAGGATCTCGGATTGAAACACTGAAACATACAGAGAACAACATTCAGAACGGTCACATGTCAATGAAAATGATAGAAATTTGTCCTGTATGATGGAACTGATCACATAGGATGAACCTTACTAGCTTCTTCTAAATCTTGTTTGATTATATGTTACAGAATGCAATTTGAACATTTAGTACATTAATCATCTCAGTGCTAGCTTTTGAATTTTTTAAAGGGAAAACTAATTCTTTATGACACCCTGAAACCGTTTTTATTTGATTTTGTTTCAAAACTGATTGTAGCATTTCATGCCAATGGTTTCTTTAAATTATCTAAAGAAAGATTTATTGCAATTTCTCCAAAAATTAAATGTATGCTTCCCTAATCATTTTATAAGAATATAAATTGTATAGTACTGAGGATAGAACTCAGCCTTGATCCAGTGTATTCTCTCCAATTTTCATTTCATAGACACACTGAACTTATCTGCTACAACTGTTTCTTTCTGTTGCTAGCATAAGCATGATAACTGGCAACAGAATTCCTCTTACACACCAGTTTCCATTACTTGGTCAGTGTCATTTGGATACATCTCAAGATCAAGCAGTAAATGGGTCAGGTTGAATAGAATGGAGATATAAATATTATACATGGGGTACCAGGGTTTGATGGAATCCTGAACAAGACAGCACAAAAGGAAACTGACAAACACAAACATGCACCAGTATCAAGCAAGTCCACTGCATACACATGACATAGAAACCATTAGTGTCATGCACAAAGAAATATCAGTCTTCTGGACTGAGGAAATTAAAGTAAAGCATTCCACAAGTTATTACCAGTTGGTAGCAATATTGACAGTACATACCTTAATAGTAATATTTTAACATTTCAATAACCTATTATCAGTGATATTTTTTAATTGTGTTATTTTTTACAAATAGATTTATAGCAATAATGATTTTTTTCTGTTGAAGGGTTTCTCGGTGAAGTGAAAAGCCAGCATGCTGTCCCTCAGTGTCCAAGGAGTTCATGGTGAGCACAGGTATATATGTATACACGGACACGCTCACACACACGTACATACACACAAGAACATGTAGGATCTGACACCAAGGTATAGTTTCTCGTAAAGAGTTTTAACATACTTAATCATACACAGATAGTTATTATAATTAGATAGTGACATTTAAACTATATGTTCTTCTGATTACGAGGTAGCTATTTTAAAGAACCTATATAAAATAAATGTTAACCATATCAAAATTTCAAACTAGGCACAATAGAAGCAAATGAAGTAAAACTGATACATGATTTGAAATGGAAACAGTTGTAAAATAACATGACAAACTTTCAGTCTTCAAAACCAAACCTTATGAAGATCAGGCAGACTTGAATCCAGGGTCTCATCAAGTAACACTTCAGCAGTCTCATTCAATTACTTTCTTTCCTTGCAGAGATAGGATCTTAGTCTCATGCAATGAGAGGTCACCTTGGATCACATGGAGCAAATGTACAATAACTGTACTATAGACCCTACATTCAAAAACTTTACTCCACATGCATTTCATGCACAAGAGAAATATTTAGCTGTACCTGAAGTGTGGTTGCTCGTGACAGTAGATTATTTGGATACAGAGGGAGTGCAGCATTAAAAGTAATCAGTTTGGGGTGTTTTCAGAGGCTGATCACAATAATTATGATCATGTACAGTCATTCATACCCTATTTGATTCTAAATAATAAAAATGAAGAAATAATCAATCTGGTATTGCCTTCATCCTGTGAAAGGTTTTACTCTTCCTTCAACAGTATTGCTTTTATATCACACTGAGGGAGGAAGGCTGGAAAGGATGAAGGTCATAGCTGTACACAACTTTGGTGAAACCCACGATCAAGGTTCGAACCCAGACTTAATCCTCACAGTGAGATTCATATCAGACTGAAATTACCAAACCCTATCCACTGACATGACAATAAACATGCAAACAAAATAATTGACAAACAATCTTTTGTAAGATGAGGTTTTGGGTTGCTATTTTTGAGCAGACAAATAAAAAGGATGGATTCTGAATGAGACAAAGACAATGGTGACAGGTCACAATCAACAAACACACAACACAGTCTTCTATAAAAGGTGTAACAAGGGCTATTTAGAACACAGCTGGATTGTCTTACCCCAGTCCCATTCATCTTGAAGGCAGGGTGGGAGAAAGCAGGTAGATAGTGTTAGAACATGGTTAGTCATGGAGGAGGTAGTTCATGGTGAGGTAAGGATGAGCTAGCATGTGGTTAGTCATGGACAAATGGCTCATGGTTAGTAAAGAAGGTGCTTGCAACATCAGTGCATATCAACTGCACACAGCACTATTTCATTTGTGTCAATACATGTACAGCGTCTAAAAAAAAAGAATAAATGTCAAGGGTCCTTGACATGTTCTCCGTCAGGCTGCAATAAACCTTAACACATGTTGGAGACTGCTGTGTATATTTTATAAGGTACAGTAATGATTATATGCAGCCAAATCACTGAGCACCGTCTAAATTCCAGTTTTCACTGTTTTATGGACAATTAGATATTCCGTATAATTCAGGCATACTACTGGCTTTATTCTTACACATGGGACAACATTCATCTAAATTGCTTGTTTATCCTGATATTGGTATTATGTATTGATCTTACCATGGTTAATAAAAAAGAATGCATGCACACACACAATGTCTCAATCTGATCAAGCATGGCAAGCTCCACACAGCACTAGCTTGTACACGGAGCTCTCCACACTATTTATGTATTGATGACACCAGTCACTGCTTCACACAATGCTGGAGGGTCATGATCATGCATGGAGTCATGGGCAGGTCCAGGAATTTTGAATTCGAACCCACTGAACCCCCGATTAGCTCCGTCAACGCAAAAAATCTTCAATGTGATCTTAAGTCATTTTCAGAGAGAGGGGGGGGGGTTGAACCCCTGAACCACCCCCACCCCCTCTGGATCCGCCACTGCATGGAGTTGATCTCACAACTGTCTGAAGGTTTCATTTACAGATAATTGCTAACTGTCGTGATGTTCAATATTCTGCTGCTGGCAAAATTATCCTTTTAATTTGTAACTTTCAGCTGTTATGTAATTCATATAGTTGGAATGACATAGTGTGGAAAATTGGGAGCTTTCCCATTATCCTGCAAACTGGAACCAACCTAACAAACAAAAACATTTCTCTGGGAAATAGTAAACTAGTCATACATCCTTTCCCTAAGGATTAAAATAGCAATCCTAACAACATACACCCAAAATATATATTCGTCACTACATTTCTGGTTGCCACCAAATTGTTAAAGATTCTTGTAATGACTCATTGCTCACTTGTGGCAGCAGTCACACCAGGCTGGTAACAAAGGTATCGCATGTTGAGAAGGAGCTCATAAACACGGATATAAAGGGAGGTAACTCACCTGTGTTCTTGTTAACATTCTCTGTCTCTTGCACTGACAGAAAATCCAAATCTAGCGTCTTTGCTGGAAAGTAACATCAGAAACACATGTTTACTTCTTACATCAAACAAGCTTTGCCTATTGAAACCTATCCATTTGAAATTAATGGAAGACATACAGAATATATACCAACCATCCCTTAACAACTTCAAAGACCATTTAGCATGCAAAGCATATTCGAAGAAAATTTAAAGAATGAAAATCTTGTTCACATCAATAGATATAGTAAACATTTGTGAGAGACACACATAACAGAGACGAAAGGTGCAGGTTGTGTAAGCAGACAGGACTTTGGACAAAACAAAGAAATGGCGAGACATTTTGTACAGATATACACACAAAACACACACATGCAAAGCCCTTTAAGAAGCACATATATGCTTTTTAATTAATGAATGTTGGTAGGATGATCTGTTTAAAATTTCCACTTTTTCCATGTGTAACGATCATCTGGAGAGACTATGTTTTCTTCTGAATCCAGATAGGTGGCATAAATTTGAAATGACACGTGTTCAGGTGACTCTTGCTATTTGCCAGTAGTCACATATTCCAAGATTCCAAGAATACTGTCTTTACATCTCAACAACAATATATTACAAAATTCACAGTGATTATACCAAATATTTCTGGATTCTGTCATTAATAAATATATTGTATCATAAATAGCCCCAATGAAATGTTTTACATCACGCAACATGATGCTTGTGAAAGTTCCACCTTGCTGAAGAACATCTCATTTCTTCTATCTATACATATATATGTATATACATCATGTATGCCATGATCAAAAAGACCATTAAGCCAAGCCATTTATAATAGTGCTTCCCAATCCCATAAAATAAAAATAAAAATTCTGTGACATGCATTAATATTTGATATCAGTAACCTAGTACTAAAGAAATATTAACTCATTCAATATATCTTCAGTAATTAAATAGTTTGCTCATCAGAGTCTAGGAAGAATAGCGAATTTCTTGTGCAGTACCATTATGTAGACAACAATAAGTTTTTCACTCAAATCTTCTGCATTGTTATGTGAATGGCAGCGGAGATGTGTTTTATGACACAAAATTGCAAAAGTATGTTCTGGAGTGTTATGCTGATATTTAAAACCCAGCAAAGGTTGTTTGGACCAATCTTGACACAGGATCCCCTGGCGAAAGGCAATCTGTAAATAATCGAGCCTGACTGACTGACTGAGTTTGGTTTTACGCCGCTTTTAGCAATATTCCAGCAACATCACGGCCGGGGGCACCAGAAATAATCGAGCCTGAACCAAACAATCCGGTGACTCATATGAAAAACAACCCATGTTGCCAGAGATTGATTCCCATTCAAACAAGACTGACAATGCTAAGTTGCTTCTTACAACAGGCATAGATTTAGAGGGACCATTTATGACCAAGAATCCCCATTGGCTGTACTGCCTGTAAAGATGAGGTAATAAATATTGATACCTGTAACCCATTTGTGAAGCCCAAGTTTGTCCTATGGAAACATTTAAGAACTTTTCAGAGAAAAACAATTTGGAATGATTTGCTACTTCATGTGACAACATCCAGAACTGATGTGCGTGTTGTATATGGATAATACTGTATGGCGTACAGTTTAGGGATAATACTCCATAACAGTCAGCATGTTCATAGTGAGGGATTGATGATCCAAATTCTAGCACTATTATAAAAATGGGCTACCCATTTGCATGTTTGCACTGTTTTACTGATTACAAAATGCCACATCCAATATGAATAAAAACTAAAAAAGGATACAGATTATAACCACTTTGATGACAAAAGTATGGAATGATAGGGACTAATTAAATAAGAACACATAAATATGATTTATCTGATTTCTCTTCTAGTTCTAACGATTAAAAGTACAATTGATGTTTAGGAAGTCCATATCTGATCACTTGATTCACATAGGAAAATCCCATTCTGAGGGGGTGAGTTGGTTTTTACGCCGCTTTTAGCAAAATTCCAGCAATATCACACTGGGGGACACCAGAAATGGGCTTCACACCATTGTACCCATGTGGGGACTTGAACCTGGGCTTTCGCCGTGACAAGCGATTGTTTTAATCGCTGGGCTACCCCACCTGCCCCAATTCCTTTCTGAACAAGCATAAAGCATCACCACACTTTGTATTTTATTTGCTGTTGTTCAGGTGTGTGTCCTGCATCCTATGGACTCCTATGGGGCTCTGTTGTGATGAATGAAAACTCTTCTAAAACATTCCTGTTACACTGAGTGAGGACAGATTTTATCAGCATGACAAGCTACAGGTATGTCATGGTGTATACAAGTTGAAGGACATCAATCCATTATGATTTAAGCTACAGGTGTGACACATAAAAAAAACATAAAACACTTCCATTCTTGTATTTCCAATACATCAATTCTATAAACAAAGCAGTTTGTGTAAGCTTGTACGCATCACATGTGTTATACTTAACCTGCTTACCACACAGCATGGTTATTATGATGATTAGGCATTATATAAGAATATATTCCCTGGTAAAAACAGTATATAGTCCCAAGTGGGAACAGTATGCTGGTATATTCCAAAGTGGAAACAGATAACCAGTATATATCCAAGGTGAAATAGTATACTGTTATATATCCAAGGTGAAACAGTATACTGGTATATTCCCAAATGGAAATAGTATACCAGTAAGTATTAATCAAGTTAATGTTCCCGAAGCCAAACAACATTCTGTTATGTAGCTACTCATGCAAAAGGCTAGGAGAGGTTGTCATTAGAACCCCAAACTGCAGACTTTTCAATGTCATTCTTCTGGACTACCACCTGACTGAAAGTTCTTAAAGCCATATTTGAGACCCTTTCATGTTCTAACATATAGCTATCAATGATATGCATTCAACAAAACACTGATGAATGACTGATGTGAACGAACAATATTGCAGAGAAATCTGCCTTGTTTTCCTTGTTTTCGCTATGCCACAATGGTCTATAAAGTGACTGAATCTGGAACAGATAAACCAGAATGATGAACCATGAGTGCAGTGAGAATCATCATCTTTCCTGTCACCTATGCAAGCTTTATTCAAACCCAGAGGTAACCACCACTTATTCACTTTTGTTAGCCATTTCAAAAGTGTAATATATCATGAATTCATTCTGCTCTAAAATCAACATGATGATAACTGAATAAATCCAATGTCACTTCAGATAACATCTTTTCTATGACTAATAATTAGAAATATTTCCTCACCTTCAGTCTCACATAAACAAGCTTCTTTAAAAAGTAATGTGGTGACACATACTGTTACATTCCCTGATTCACAGTAAGACAACTGACTTGTACAACTTAAAAGGCAATAGCAAAAAGCAATATGGCATATATGAGCCATATAAGCTAAAAACTTGTTTTCTGAGATGATCAAACATCCAGATGGTATTGACACACAATCACAGAGCCAGTTGATTTGCATCACTAGCTGGTGGGTGTAATCGAAAACCAATATGACTCTAAATTTCATGTCAGTATGAACACTGAACAGAAATTAAAGAAAAGACAACACTTGGGACTAGTCTTATCTGTCTCGTGTTAATTCTTAGATCAATCACATCAACTGATTACACTTAAACAAACTATTTACAATTTTTACACCTACAACACATAGAATGGAAGTTGCTAGCTGGTCACTGACGCATAATGTGACTTAACTAATCAACATAGCAATACATTAAAATGCTCTACTTCACAACACAGGACTTTCCATTCCATGCATAACATTCAATAACATAGAAATGTTCCGAGTCTCAAATATGGATTAGACCTCTCCAGAACTGTTCAGAATAAAGACATGAAAAGTCATACATTTCAGTTGCAGATGTTAATGAAAGCATTGCAATATATAAGATGGGAAATGTAAAGATGGTGGTGTTTGGATAGTGTCAAGGCAAACCTACACATGCTACTGTTTATTGGTTGAACTGGGTTCTCGCCATTAACTGCTTTCATCTTGGACTTTTCTTCTGCTGTAAATATCAGGAAAGAAAAAAATGCTTCTTTTAGTATAGGGGGTCAGTTGACCCTTATTTCTTCAGTGTAACCATGGTAACTGCCCTTATGCTGGCATGATGTTGCTGATGCATGTTTACATGGTTCACAGTATATATACTCAGAACTTCAAACCACAAAAAACAAACAAGGCTAAACTCTATAATCATCAAAATGCACAGGTAAATCCAACTTTTCACAATAGAGCATACACTTTACAAAGGATTGGTAAACTAAAAGGTGACACTCATTGAGCAGGTGAAGTGGATGCTTCAGCCAGTTCATGCATCAATCAGAATACATTTCAAGTAATATTAGTACAAAGAACACTATATCAACAAAGTTCATGCTTTGAAAAGACATCGTTGGTCTTCACTTCAACTGTTCAGAACATACTCCCTCTTAATATGAATAACCTGCTGTATCCACAAATATCAAAAAATGCCCCAAACTTAAGTCCAAAATAACGTAAAATAAAGAAATGAAAATTAGCTGTGCATGCTACTTGTAGCCAAAACCGAGTCCTCATGAGGATGAGAAAAGACAAGCCTACCTGTCAGCGGGTTTGTAAGTCCGCTATTATCCCAGTCAAACTCTACAGGAGGAAGCTCCTGCAAACAGGGGAAGTAACAACTCATGTTAACTCAGAACATACCACATTAAATATTTTTTATGCTGGTAAAGATTTTTGCATTGATGTATACTTTAATATCCTCAGAAAGAAAAATATTCCATTCTTAGCACTGATCAGTATCTTCTTTCCAAACTCAAGACCATGCCCCAAAATGAAAACAGAACTCTTCAGACATACACTTTTTAATTGAACAGTTAAACAAAGACCTAAGATTGATTAAGTTCATATATGCAAAAACTCCGAAAAGTACGAATAAGCATGAAATATAAGCCCAAGTGATATCCAGTGTGGAAGATACAACTATAAAGAGTCATCTATTTGCCAATATGTTGTTAGTGTCTAAGGGAGAGGAAAATAGATGGAGAGACAAACAAATGATAGAATATTATTCATAAACACCTTTATACCAACACAAAATGATATTTATAAAAGAAGATCCCTAGTCTTGAGAAACTCCCAAAAGTTCATGCTTCACCCATGAAAAATCTCAAGATGAAGTTCTAAAATGACAAGCAGAGTAATCTCCCTTCCTTTAAGCCTGCTCTTTCCACATGTCTAATCCTATGGTTGAAACACAACTACTGATAAGATCTAGCACAAGTGTCAGTTTAAGCAGCATGTATTTGGTTTAGCTCCATGCATTGTAAGCTCAAATGATGCAATAATGGCTTTCTATTTCAATTCATGCTATCATTACCAATACAATTATGAAATAAATCCCCAAAATGAAATATATTTCTACTCGATTTTGAAAAACAAGAAAAAATAATGTTCACTCCTCAGAGATGATGTCAAGTAACTTAAACCAAAATCCAGAACTCAGTGACGTACAGAAAGGTATGATAGTTTACTTATTTTTGTTGATTAAGTGCAAACAACCAAACTTATGTTTATATACCATAAACCTAATTAAAACTTAAACCTCATTAACTATCATACATATGTCACCACCACCTTCTCTCAGAAATAAATAACTTATCAAAGTAACCTTCTAAACACAGGCACTATACAAGCAACGAACAACTACATCTACCTATCACCAAATCCTATCAATTCAAAAAGGGTAAACGTATTCAGTCTTCTTGGGGGGTCAAACACAAAAAGGTGTACAGTATTGATGCAAATTCTACAAATTTTCAATAATGGGCTTCAGTTTTAATTTGTGAACTGTGACATGAAACAAGTGTTAACAACTGACAAGAGAGCAGAGATTAATAAGAGAAAGACACCACATGAAGCACCTATACCATGTACACACACAGATGCGGAAAAGCTCGTTATCTCACCTGGGCTCCCCCAGCATTGTCGTCAACCTTGTCAGGATCAACCAGAGTAGGATTCAGCTTGGGCTGCAGTGGTTTTGCATCAACTGGGCCTCGGATTGGCTCAAGTAAACCAATATTGGATGCAAATATCGGCACAGATTGTTTCTTGTGACCAATGAGCTGAAAACAGAAAATGTTTGACATGACCTTTTTTCCATTGCATTGTGATCTACCACCAGTTATTCATTTATGCATATCGAATATGTGTATTATTCACGGGCGTGGGGACACCAGAATATGTGTATTATTTCACAATGAAGACGGGAAGATCATTAACATGTGCTTGTATTATTCAAAAGATATAAATGATAATGCAGACTCCACAGGAGATCTTTTCAACAGTAGATTTGTTCCTAGGGGCTTGTGTAAGACCTGGGCATTAATGGAAAAACAGATATTTCATGATATTGTCTACTAAACATGCTTATCATACTAAAGAACATGTCAAAGGGTGAAACAAAGTCTCACAATATTTTGTGTGTCAATGCGCAGAGTTTTAAACATGTGCTTGTTAGCAGTTGAGGATGTCCACTGGTAGACAAGGGCACTTGTTTTGTCCAGATCACGGAGGGAATGCCACACCACACCAGGCCCTCTTGCTTTCCTGAAATGAAGCACAATCAGTTGAGGGTTTGTTGGACTATTAGCATATCATTGTAAGTATATCATAAACTATAAAGTGTATTATATCCCATTCTATTACAATATCTACCTGGGACCCATTGTATGAGTGGCATTATCCCCACCACATCTTGATACTAAAGGTAACAATAATGAAGCAAAGACAATCTCACTCACTGAATCTGTTTATTGGACACATTTTTCAATTCATGAAGTTAAAATTGAAGATACATTAGAGAATGTGTTCATCTGAGAGAGTGAGTAAGCCACTTTCAGCAAAATTTCACAACAATCAAAACCAGAAATGGACTTAACAAATCCTATCCATGGGAGAATAAAACCCATTCTGAATTTGTTCAAGATACTCAACATAACCATTATGCTAGAAGTGAGATAGGCTAGACTGCAGTCTAAGTAATCTTAGCCTCAATATTATTCATTACAATGCTATACTAAGTCTAACAGTAACAAACCCTAGTAGAAGGTCGCGTCAGGTAACCTTTTCAATTGACCAATCAGAACACAGCTTACCAAATCGCGAAAGTTGACATTTGCACATACCTTTTGGACTTTTACCCTGAAAAAGTTTGTACACGAACGATTCCGAATGCTATTTTCCGTACGATCCCTTCCGAGTGATGCACATGGAGCACGCCACAATATTGAGTGAACAATCACTGAAAATAGCGTTTTTGTCAATATTCCACAATGTCAGCTTGCGGAAATATTAGCTAATGGTAACCTTGTCATCAGAAAGCCCTAAGCAAATATACTGCAGGTCAAATATATGTGTTTTATGCAGATTTTCGTTTGTTGAGAGATCAGTGTCAGTAAACGGGGAATTTTGTAAGTCCCGCCGAACCCCAAACAGTAGCCGTTGTCTGATTGGTTAAATCCGTTCAACCGTCTCGCATTTGATTGGGCAGTCATAGGACGCTCAAAAGTTAACCAACGTGACCATCTACTAGGGTTTGTTAGACTCAGCACAAGCAGTGTAACGAATAATACTGAACCTAGGTTTACTTAGACTGTACTAGACTGGATAATCAATTAGATTTTGATAACACAGAAGACTGATTTTTTGGCAATATTGCATATGGACAGAATATCTATAATTTCATATACTCTGAACAGCAATTTGATTCAATGGACTTGAAGAAGTCGATCTGTCGTACCCTGTAGTGGTTTTGGATATGTGCATGGAGACTGTTCCCATGTCTGGTCGAGCTGAGATAAGAACCTCCAGCTGAGATGGGCAGGTCTCTGTCCCTTCAGAGTCTGAGGACGGGAAGCATGAGGACAAGATGTGATCTAGCTTCTCTGAAGACACCTGCAATCATAACCATACATAAAACGTCCGATGTGTTAAGTTCATCATATCCGTAAGTGAACATGTTCCAAGAAACCTGGAAATAGAAATCGACTGTTAACTGCGCAAGTAATAATCTGATTGCCATATTTTTAAAGGTATAATTATAAACATGTTTGAAGTCATAAAATGATTAAATAGTGACATTTCAAACAGTCAACAGAAATACATATATAGATATACACAAAAGGTATGCATTTGTATATTTTCTTCAATGTTTATTAACCACATAAACAATAAACCAACACATGGATATTTCTACCTTGGAATGTGAAGCTGAAACTGAGGCAGCTGTACCAGGAACAGGCAGTTTAGTTGGAATCTGTGATGCCTGGTTTGGTTTGCTATCCTCAAAGTTAGCCCAATCACCATCATCATCTGCAGTGTCTTTATCACTGACTGAGGTAAAACCACCAAATTCTTCTTTATCCTCCTCTTCCTCGGAATCTTGTGCTGTGTTAAAGTCACCAAAGTCTTCATCCTCTGTTGATTTGAGTTCTGTTTCTGTGGGCTCATCTGAAGTAGATTGGAAATTAGCCCAATTGTTGTCATCACCATCAGCAGCTTCAGAGAACTCACCAAATGCATTCCACTCATCCTCCTCTGCCACAAAACCATCAGATTCTTCCACCTGACTATCACAAGGTACAGAAGCATCATCAGGTACCGAAGCATCATCATCAGCACAAACATTTTCTCCAGTAGACTCATTGTGTTCCTTTGAATCAATATCACTTTCTGTCCTTTGATCTAACACATCACAACATTCTACCTGGGATGGTTCAGAATCTGTCTGAAGTTGAGAAGTGCAACATGTTTCATCCTTTTCAAGACAAATACCAGATGTGTTCTTTGGAATCTCTGCATCAATATCCATATCTAACTGATCTGGTTCATCCAAATCAACACTTCCTGTATTTGTGGAATCTTTCAAAGCTTCTTCAATAGCCTCCAAACATTCGTCTTCTTCTTCTTGTACATCTGCAATTGCACTACTGGTCCCACTCACACAATCCTCATCTACCTGACTTTGCTCAATCTGAGCTCCCTGATCCTGCAGACCATCATCTGCTGAGTCAAAGTCACCCCAGTCATCCTCATCTTCAATCTGACCAGAACTCTCCACATGGCCAAAGGAAACATCTTGACTAGACTTTTCATTCTGTTCAGAGAGAGCTTGAGAATCATCTCGACTGTCCAGAGGCGAGACCTGTTGGTCAGTGGATGAGTAGGACACTGTTTGATCATCTTTGCTGTGTATAGTGTCCTCCTCCTCTACCTTGGTATGACTAAGACAAGAGTTATCTTCCTTACTACCTTCACTAGCACAGTCATCCGTGGAGGAACATGTATCTAACCCTAGACTAGTCCTTGTTTCATTTGCTATCACATTGGAATCTACTGCAGTTTTTGGTTCATAAGATTCACAAACAGGTGAATCTGTGGTTTCTGTTTTGTCTCGAGGCAATTCAGGGAATGTGTCATCGTTGTCAGATTCACAGCTCTTATCACAGAACTCAGCTGTATCTTCTGATTTGGGCACAGGCGAGATGTCTGTGCTGAACATCCCTGAATCTGTTGTTGAGTCTCGTGAAACTTTAACTGATGCGGGTACTGTATCTTTATCATCACAGGTGGGCGATCTGGAATCACAGCTGCCATTGTCAGGAGAGGTTTCACTCTGTACATTGAGAGAGTCTTTTGATTGTAAGTCCTTCACATCATGATTACTTATTGTTAATGGTGTATTTTCACAAGATGGTTGAATGGGTAACTTCTCAATGTGAGGTTTCTTGCAGCTAACGTCTATTTCAGGATTATCATCATATTGCTCAAAATCTGCAAATTCAGACTCTTCTTCAGTTCCATTAACTAAGGTATTTCTAGAATTGACCTCTTGTTCATGGAAACCATTTGCATTTTCATTTGTATTTGTACTTTTTTGTTTCTCAGATAGAGGATTATTATTTTTCATATTTTCCTTCACCACAGCTGTGGAGTCTGAATGGTCAGCTTCAAAAGGAGGTAGTTCCGGGGGATCTGGAGAGGATTCATGACTATCTCCAGCCCCTGTGAAGTTGCCAAAGTCATCATCCTCATCATCATATCCAAAGGAATGGTCATCAAATGGCGGCGGTGATGCCGAGACCATTGGAATGAAGTTTGACATTTTGCAATATTTCAGTTTTATGTCATGCCATAATTCTGAAACAAAGAATGACATCATTAAGTACTATTACTAAGTACCATACATCATATATTATTCATGACGTGTATCATAATTGTCTTAAATGGTATGGATGTGATTAAATGAGATGAATGAACTTACTGACATAATTCTTCTGAAAATATTGTTTCTGGAAACTTGTAATATTATCATGTCCATCTGAGGCCCCAGACCCAAAGCTAAGAATGTGAGATGAGGACACTTTCATGCAAAATTAGTTCACCAGACATTAAATAAACTGATAGGGAAATAGGTGAACCAGTGAACTAAGTTCAATTTCATTCATTAACTCACTATAACTTATGCTTTCAAGGATACAAATATCATATCCATTGCTGGGCAATCGCTTCATGTTTGATACAATCTTCATGCCTACAAACAACAGTGACACTGTGAAGTAACCATTACCATGATTACATGAAAGCATAGCGTGAATTAACACTCGTGAAGTATGCTAATGTTTCTAAATATGCAGTTTGTAAGATCAGTGAATACACTTTTCAGAAAGTTTATCAAGGCTTGTTTGTTATATTCCAATGCAATCTTCCAAGTGAAACATGCATTGTAGTGCTGAGTTATTGCTCACAACATGATGATCTATTACTGGAGCTCAGTATTCAATCAATAATCGATTGTAATCACAAACCCTACCACAAAACTTATGTGGCTTATAATGGGACACAATCATAACATTGTGCAAACAAAACAGCCACCAATTATTACTATGATCAAGACAATCAAGGTTACTTTCTGGTGCAACCGCATCCGTGGTGTAGTGGTTAGTGCGTCCGCCAGGAGAGCGGAAGGTCGCGGGTTCGATCCCCGACCACGTCATACCAAAAGACGTTAAAATATGGTACTTGTTGGTCCCTGCCTGGCGCTCGGCATTAATGGGTACAACAAGGACTGGTCGGCTCGGAGTAAGTATAATGTGTCTGAGTGGGGTATTCATGCTTCACTGCGGCATGGTATCTCAGTGGGCTAGCACTATAAAACCAGCTTAAGTCTGGGCTAGTACAAGCAGCGGCACATACACATACACACGCATGCACGTCATATGAGCGAAATATTCTCAAGCACAACGATAAACCCAATTTCACCTCACCTTACTTCCTGGTGCACATCTGTGTATTGTGTATCTTTGTTTTGTGGGGTTTGGGATGTTTAAGACCCTGACTGTTAATGGCATGGACAATTACAAAACATTTCACTCACTTATACAAGACAACTTTATCTTAACAACAACTCATATTTCGAATACTGACAACGTCTGTGACAAACACAACAATAAGAAACATACTTTGTAAAGTTTAATTTGATGTTTTCGTTTGTCATGAATTTTCAAGCACTAATGCATTGCATCAATAAATATTACTACAGTCATAGTAAGGTGGGGGTGAGATGGATTTTGTCGCTTTCAGCAATATTCCAGCTATATGGTGGTGCTAGACACTAGAAAGAGATTTTACTCATTGTACCTATGTGGCGATATTCAGTCATAGATTCAGGTCATTATCAAATACGTCATACCAAAAGACGTTAAAATATGATACTTGTTGGTCCCTGCCTGGCGCTCGGCATTAATGGGTACAACAAGGACTGGTAGGCTCGGAGTCAGTATAATGTGTCTGAGTTGGGTATTCAAGCTTCACTGCGGCATGGTATCTCAGTGGGCTAGCACTATAAAACCAGCTTCAGTCTGGGCCAGTACAAGCAGCCGCGCATACACATACACAAGCATGCACGTCATCATATGAGCGAAATATTCTCAAGCATGATGTAAAACCCAATTTCACCTCACCTCACCATTATCAAATACACAATATTTGTCTGTCAGGAGGGATATGCATAACAACATTGACACCATGTATAAGCAAAACTGTCACCGAGACCTGGGAAAAGGTATGCACATCTTGTGTCACAACAATACCAACAGACATCTGTTGTAAGGCATATATCTAACATTTACTTGGTTGGCTTACACATGTCACCTAACAGACAACATGAACAAAACATTTTAAGATTTACAGGCTGAACAATTAAACCTGCGTATACACTTGCGTAACCTTGATTCGTGGATATAAGGGAAGCGCGAGGAAATTCATATTTTAAATGTATCATTCCATTTTGTATATACACAGAAAATTTTATTCCTTGATTTAGCAAATTGAAAGTGCCTAATATTCCACTCATGAATGAAACGTTTGTTTACCCGAAGCCATTTGCAATCATCACCCATTCGTGTGCCCACAAAATGTGGCGTCACCTTGTTTCGTGGATTACGTAGTCGGTTACTTTATACCACTTTGTACGACATCTCACTGCAGTAAGAATTTGCCAAAAAGAGTGAGTGAGTTTAGTTTTACGCCGCTTTTAGCAATATTCCAGCAATATCATGGCGGGGGACACCAGAAACAAGAAAACAGACAACGAGAAGTGAGAAGGTTGGAGCTAACGGTATTTTTTTACTTGACATTTTGTAAAAATAAAACTTGGTAATGGTGGTATTAGTGATCTGGGGCTATTTATCTCAATGCTGGACAATTATATTTAGTGTACTTGCGTGTAATACAGAGATTCGGAACTTTTTTGTCAGTGAGGCTTGGCATTGTATGTACATCAAAAGTACCGCTTCGTGACCTCATACGAGACTTAATTCACGAGCTAGCATGACAATTTCCGCGATCCACGAATCAAGGTTATCCACGAATTTAGGTTACGATTCTGTAAATAAAGTGTCTGTCATTTCCAGGACTGATCAACTCAAAGCTTATGTCTGATCTCAAATGGGATGCCTCAAACTTGTAAATGTATCGTCTAAATTACGTAATGCCTGAATAATGTACGTGATCTATGTATTCAAGAGAAAAACAAATGTGCCCAACCGCTGAAGGGCGATCTAGATCAATTCCTAGAGAAACATCACTGTTTTTCATTATGTCCCAAGCTTATTACGAAAATATGTTGAAGTAATGTCAACACGGTCTCGTGCCTTATGTAGCGATATAGACCTGAATGAATAAACATTTTGCACATATGTCCTCATGAAATTCATACTTTCACGAACCATTGCGATACGCTCTGAGAAAACAAATCAATATTGTTCCACACCTACTCAGAAAATCGGATGACAGACGAAATGGTTTCTCGATCTCATACCAGGTGTAAATACTTGGCTCGTTTCGATTGTTCACAGATATGTACTTGCTACAGATTTTGCAGAACTAGAGAAAAATATCAGAGAAATAAGGAAATGCTTACATTGTTCTAACCCATTGCAGATTATGACAGGGGTTAATGATAAGACATCACATCAGCTGTCCACTTCCTCCACATAGACATTTCCCATCATTCCTTCTCAAGACAGCGACACCTTTCGGAGATGTCACAGGAAGGGCGATAACTTCGCCAGGACAAGTAATCGAGCAGTTTAACGCCGACGAACGGCATATTTACATTCATTTTTGAGTTGGTCATCAACTTTATATTTGATTACCCGACATCCGACCTGATGTATCGAAGCCTAGCCAATCATTATAATACCATTTATGCGCACTGTTTTAAATTTACAAAAGAATAAACAATAGAAGTTTGTTTCAAGTTTCAATATTATGCTTCATTTACCTTTTATATTGGGATGACATGTCAAGCTATTTTTTAAGTGAAGAAGAAGCATGACTTGCGTGTTTATATCGGGAGCGTTGACGATCACATTGTTAAACTTAAATACACAACTGTCCGTTGTAGATAGAGCACCTTACGGCACATACGAGGGTAGATCAAAGAGTACGTAGCCTGACTATATTCTCTATGTCCAATGTTTGAAAAGCTTCCATTTTATTTTGAAGGAATCGTTAGCAAAGCCATATCCAAAAGTTCACATGTGTGGGTAATGTGGTTAACCAGATATTTGTCATCACAAGACATTGGGGTATAATATTTCTAACAAAATTGCAGAAAATGAAAAACGATTTGTCTTTTGGTACCTCTTGGATAATGGTATGCCCTCAGATAATGTCAAGTAAAATATATTCAGTATAGTATTGGATGACTTCCCGTCATGATCAACAGTCAAAGATTTGGACTGCCTGATTTATATTTAGTCGGGGACTATTTTTTAAGGACACCCCCCATTTTAATCTTTCAAAAACACTGTGTCCAGATATTCAAGCTGGCACTGTTTACAATATAGTTTGAGCTGACACTTGTGTGACCATTCAGTATTTAGTTTGAACCCTTTGCATCATGTATGCATAGGTGAAAACGTTAGAATAAGCTATGCCCTTATGATAACGTCTTCTGAAAGGGGGATGGGAAGTGTCTCCAAAACAAGCTCTTTCAGTCTACATGAAGGTGTGTGTGTGTGTGTGTGTGTGTGTGTGTGTGTGTGTGTGTGTGTGTGTGTGTGTGTGTGTGTGTGTGTGTGAGTGTGTGTGTGTGTGTGTGTGTGTCACTTTTTGTAATTTAAAATTGCATTTTTATGAACTTTAATATATAAGTGTGATTCTAGGGGACTTCTGTCAATCTCAAACACACAAAATATTTCTTGCATATTTTTGATGAGCTTGAAAGATAATATGTTGAAAAATAAAACATAAAAATAACTGCATTTGTGTCGTTTTCTTGGTGATTCTACATACTTTTTGATCGCCCCTCGTACGTCTTTGGTTTGCCGCTTTCATTAAACAGGGTTCAACTTTGTATCCAAGATGATAAAACATGACTAATCTGAATCAAAAGCATCTGGTTTAATAACATCACCTGAAGAAGTGAGGGAGTTCGTTGTTTTACGCCGCACTCAGCAATATTCCAGCTATATGGCGGAGGTCTGTAAACAATCGAGTCTGGACCAGACAATCCAGTGATCAACAGCATGAGTATCGATCTATGCAATTGGATTACACTGACGTGTGTCAACCAAGTCAGCGAGCCTGACCACCCGATTCCGTTAGTCGCCTCCTACGACAAGCATGTGTTACTGAAGATCAATAACTGTTACAACAGTACATATGCATGTATAGTGTCTTCCCTCTCTATAAAATTTATTCCACCACGAAATGACACACTCCCGTGATCTGTCCAAATGACTAGTTCATTCGTGTATATTTATAATTGCACCAAGTACGATTTTGTACATACAAGTATGTTTACGGTAGCTTTTGTTAATAAATGGCTTGTGGAGTAATCCTTCTCTTTTTTATTCCTTTTTTGTAAAAAATGTGCTTCCTTTATATAGCTTTATCACAAAATACCAAACCGCTTACTGGCACGTCTTTGTTGAGACGCGCGTGTGCTGTTCACTGTGAGTGAGTGAATGAATTTAGTTTTACGCCGCACTCAGTAATATTATACTGTGCAATTCATGGGAAAACCGGTTATTGATCCATATCGCACACAACTCTCCTTTCTGTCCTTTGAGTCTCACAGAACCACACTTACATAGCAAAACGTCTTATTTCGAACCCCGATAGACCGAACATGGCGTATGTTCTTGGCGTTTTATATTGGGATCTCTCCATGTACAATATGAGATGTCGGACCTGCCATAACAGCTCAATATCGTATATAGTATAGTTATCACCGCCTCATGTCAGTTTCAAATTGTTTCCCATCACTACATTTTCTGGATAGCCACTTTCAGTAATTAATCACTAGACACCAAGTAATCAATTACTCTGTCTGAGACCCTCTCACAATATCATGGCACAATAGACTTGGAGACATATATCTTTATACGGAACAATAAACACCTTGAGGTTATTACAATCATGTCCAACTCTCACCTGCCTGAGGGAACGAGCGGCACACATCAAAGGTTAAAACTGGTAATTGATCACAGGTAGATGCAAGGTAGGTTATATAGTTAAACGGTAACTGCAATAACACCTGGTTGATGTTCTCCGGGGTATAATCTGATATTACGTGCAAATGGACCACATAATTCTTTGTAATGTCTTTTAAGACATTTCTTAGAAACAAACATTTATATCCAGAGATTGTGAAACGACCGACTAAGGTGTTATGATCAACGAGTAAGCTTATTAAAGCAAAGAGATGCTAGCTGAAAATGATTAACCGTAAGGTGCGCATTAACGTCGAGCGTCGACCCCACGAAGATCCAGTTTCGAATAGTGTTCAGAAAACTACGCTTGTAGTTAGAGGCGAGTTAAAGGACCGGGAGTTGTCAGACTCAGTGTCTTGAGTGATGCATGTCATCGTAACCCAGTTGCGTAAATCCACACATGTGGTGACAACTGTCAGTCAACGGACTATCTGGCCCAGACTCGTTTATACAGATTGCGTCATAGAGCAGGAACATTGCTGGATATGGCGTTAAAAAAGGAAAACACAACGTCGAGCGTTTCGAAGAGTGAGTGAGTATGGTTTAACACCGCTTTTAGCAATATCATGGCGGGGGACACCAGGAATAGGGGGATCGAACACGGGTCTTCGACGTGACGAGCGAACGCTTTAACCACATAGCTACCCCACCGACGTGAGTGAGTGAGTGAGTTGAGTTTTACACCGCACTCAGCAATGCTATATGGCGGCGGTCTGTAAATAATCGAGTCTGGACCAGACAATCCAGTGATCAACAGCATGAGCATCGGTCTGCGCAATTGGGAACCGATGACACGTGTCAACCAAGTCAGCGAGCCTGACCACCTGACCCCGTTAGTCGCCTCTTACGACAAGCATGGGTTACTAAAGATCAATATTCTAACCCGGACCTTCACGGGCACCGACCCGAGTGTTGAAGAGGATATGGCAGTAGCAGCAGAGACCATATGGTCTCTGGTAGCAGATCTACGTTTGATTAAAGTTTCTATGACGCTGATTGGCGAAAGAGAAGGCCATCTGGTGAGTTAGGCCAACAAGGAACACAGTGGCACAGGAATACCACATATCCGCGTCGGCAAGTGTTCCTTCCGTATGTGGCCAACGATAACATGTGGCAATAGGCGTACAAGCTGCAAATGTCGCACGTAAACTTGTTATTGATTCTAACGGTACACGGCGATATGTAAATAAACTTTGTTATCATTGTCCGGGAGCTTATGGGATTTCTGGAGTAGTCATTCGGTAACTAATACGCATAATCGTTTTGCGAGACAGTTTGATTCAACGCAGCTGTCCAAAGTATTTCAATATTACATATCGGCTTAAGGTGGGTGAGTGAGTGAGTTTATTTTACGCCGCACTCAGCAATATTCTATGGCGGCGGTCTGTAAATAATCGAGTCTGGACCAGACAATCCAGTGATCAACAGCATGAGCATCGATCTGCGCAAGTGGGAACCGATGACACGTGTCAACCAAGTCAGCGAGCCTGACCACCTGACCCCGTTAGTCGCCTCTTTCGACAAGCATGGGTTACTAAAGATCAATATTCTAACCCGGACCTTCACGGGCACCGACCCGAGTGTTGAAGAGGATATGGCAGTAGCAGCAGAGACCATATGGTCTCTGGTAGCAGATCTACGTTTGATTAAAGTTTCTATGACGCTGATTGGCGAAAGAGAAGGCCATCTGGTGAGTTAGGCCAACAAGGAACACAGTGGCACAGGAATACCACATATCCGCGTCGGCAAGTGTTCCTTCCGTATGTGGCCAACGATAACATGTGGCAATAGGCGTACAAGCTGCAAATGTCGCACGTGTAAACTTGTTATTGATTCTAACAGTACACGGCGATATGTAAATAAACTTTGTTATCATTGTTGGGGAGCTTATGGGATTTCGGAGTAGTCATTCGGTAACTAATACGCATAATCGTTTTGCGAGACAGTTTGATTCAACGCAGCTGTCCAAAGTATTTCAATATTACATATCGGCTTAAGGTGGGTGAGTGAGTGAGTTTATTTTTACGCCGCACTCAGCAATATTCCAGCTATATGGCGGCGGTCTGTAAATAATCGAGTCTGGACCAGACAATCCAGTGATCAACAGCATGAGCATCGATGGGCGCAAGTGAGAACCGATGACATGTGTCAACCAAGACAGCGAGCATGGATTACTGAAGATCAATATTCTAACCCGGACCTTCACGGGTATGCTTTAGCTGGGAGGAAAGAAGTGATGCTTATATTGTTTTCTGTATTTGTTCGTTTGCTGTTCACCTTGAGTTCAGCAGCATTCCAGCTGTACGGCAGTGGCCTCTAGATAATAGAATGTGGACCAGACACCCACAGGTCTGAACAGAGGAGCAAAAGAAAGCGTACCGAGTTAATTATTCAGTTTGATTCATGCTGTGGAACGATATCTCATTCCTGCAACAGGTTGAGAACAAATAATCTGCAGCTGGGTAACTTTGTGTGAAAATATACATCGGTTTAAACGGGGTAAGAAATTAATTTGCAACCACATGGCCTCTACCATACTGGAAATGTTGTAAATTTGTGAAAATAGCAAATGTTTTACGTTTCAAAGATATGATGCCCGCGATCCCATTAGCAGTTGTGTATTATGCGAAATTTTCAATTACATTATTAAATATAATAACACATATATCGTTATCTCATAAACATACACACGTGATGTCTTTGCAAATACATGTATACATCAACACGAGAATTAATTAAGCACCTCCCCAAACCAACGGTAATGTTTAACATTTTGGTCAAAACAAGCGATCCTACCCAAGCATACACAATGTGCTTCTCATAATTCTCACAAGCTATGTATAGGCCGTATGACCGCAAGCGCCAAGCACATTGGGGTATAGTTATCATAAAGACAGGACTTAAAATAAACCTTTTCTTGATGTGTTATGAAACAGTATTATAAGCGGTCTTCTGCACGTTACCGACGGCCGATGTCGCGTATGGAAACGTCGTAACGAGACATACCACCAGGAGATGATCTATGCAGATCATAGCCACTGGAGTGCAAATTTGTTTTGATAAGAGCGTAGGCAAAATGGGAACACACTGAACCCTTTGGTCTTGATCAGCGATGGTGTGGGGTTTCGTTTCGTATTACTTCAAGTTAGATCTCATTACAGTACCTGGGACACTCAGTGGGCACCGTTATCACCGGGAAATAGTGGATACCGCCGTCGTGCCACATTTTGATAACCATCCCCTTGCCAGTTGTCCCATATCTATGGATGACAAGCTGGACCACACCGTTCCCGAGCCATCATCCTCCATTTGCAGACAATGCCATCGGAACATTACCATGGCTGGCAAACAGCTCGAACCACATCGAACATCTTTGGGCTATCTTAGATGGCAACTTCGAGCTAGAGATCCTGCAGTTCAAAATCTGCAGGAATTGACGCTGGCACTCCATGGGTAATGGCGAAGGATTCCGTAGGAGGAGACTAGCTGATATTAGCCGTGCGAAAGGTGGCTACCACAGGTACTCATACTCACGTGAAAATTTTATCAATGCACGGCAAAATCTTTTCACCAAGGGAATAGTATATTTTATGAGCGCTTCAATTTCCGCTGAAATTCGCTTTCTTGTGGGCGATTTTCAAGATCCATTTCCTCAGTAGGTTTATTCATATTACAATTATCTTATAAATCCGTTTACGAAAATTTGTCGCATATAAACCTAAAAATACCCCCACGTAGTTTTTAAACTCAACATATAAAACATACAAAGTGTAGATTGACATCAAGAAGGTGAGTGAGTTTAGTTTTACACAGCACTCAGCAATATTCCAGCTATATGGCGGCAGTCTGTAAATAATCGAGTCTGGGCCGGACAATCCAGTGATCAACAGCTTGAGCATCGATCTGTGCAACTGGGAACCGAAGACATGTGTCAACCAAGTCAGCCAGCCTGACCACCCGATAGTTGCCTCTTACGACAAGCCGATCAACGTTCTAACCCTTCAGGGGTAACATCAAGAAGGTGGCTTTGGTTGGATGGCAGACGTCTTATCCAAAGCAAATAATAAGTACAATGTTTTGGACCACCAGCCTCCAGGTAGCTTCTATCCTGCCTTGATAAGCTGGAGGAGTCTCATCTATACTACTCAAAAGGAGTTCAAGAAACCCGATTCTTTCGTATTCCTTAAGTCATAGAAAATGAAAGCAATGGATGTAATTATATTTCCTGTGAGCAGAATTCGTGCTATATTTGTGTTTTATGATTAGTTTCTGGTCTGTTATATGTGGAGACAATGTAAAATATCATCCAAAGGTTCAGTTTGAAGATCCAGGTTAAAAGTGTTTGCTTGTGGATACCCAGGTTTGATTCTTTAACATGTTCTATCACTCCTCCCTCCCTCACTCACCCAACCCAGCCACTCACTCACTCACTCACTATTTGGGGTGGTTGTGTTAGTGTGTGCTCATACCCTTACAACATGGATGGCTTTTGTCTGGATGGACTGTTCTGCATGTGTATTGGGTGTCACAAACACCTCCTAGTTGTCATTCATAATGTTGACATAATTCATATCCATCCACAAAATATGTGGTTGTAGATGGCCTAGTCATCTAAGGCACCACTATACGCTATTAAGATGTCTACTTCGTATCAGTAAAATATGTGGTAATCATGTCATCAGTAGGGTGGCATTCATATCAAACAAAAGTTTATGTATATATTCAAATACTTTATTTACATTCGTACATATATTCAAACAAATAGTTCAACAATCATAGTTAAATGGTTTCACAATGATCCTTTCACATCCAAGAGGATGTACATAATGACTTCTCTTTCTGTTTATGACTAAAATGAAAAAATATGAAGGCATAAGTAAGAGCTTAAAAGTTATTAACGTCAGCCTTAATTCAATGAATAATTATCCAAAATTAAACGTAGCTGAAGTAAATGGACATGGTTAGTTTTATATGATATCTGTTCTCGACAAATGCAGTAGATTCTACTGAACTGTGCCTATCTTTTCAAAGAACTCAGTTGATTTAAAATAGCGATAAACACCCTGTGAACTAAACACCCTGTGACTAAAAATTCAAAATAGTGCGTATCTGTCATGGGTCAGAGTCTTGTCTACAACATACAGCGCAAAACATGACTTTATATATTAAATATAATCTACAATTTAGATGTTTCCTGGCAACAAGTCAAAAGTAAAAATAGTAAATATATAAAAACTAAAGTTCAATGTTGTGAATGCTTGTCTGAAAATGATGTTAAAACTAACATCATCAATGTGCGACAATATCAAAAACACAAACGTAACAACGTGGTATATATAACTGTTTACTTTCCAGGGCCACACATATACTCGTATTGTCCAACTGTTTCTCTTTGTAACATGCTGTAATCGATGAGAAAAAATAAAAATAGATTATTGTCATAATTCTATAAAAGACCAGCACAGAAAAAACAAATTTTAAGTTTCACAGAGTGACTGTAATAACCTAAGAATTCTGCATGTCATTTATTAGATCCTGTTAGATAATCAGCTGGTTATTATGATGTCCAAAGGTTTACCTTCATATATACATTAAAAACAGATGTTCAAAGCCAACACATTTTACATCTAACATGAATTTGGTTAACGATAGTGGCATTTTTTGTTTGATAGTTTTGCAAAATAAAATGATATCCCTTAAACAAACTGAATATATCCAGCCTCTTTACTTTTACAAATTCCATGTCAATTTTACATCTGTTCTTCATATCATTCCCAATCGCATAATTCAAATACTGATATACATATAATACTTTCTACTTGTTTACATGTTGGTATTTACAATGTTTACAAATCACCGGTTTGTACATTCAGTATCACAGGAGCGACGAGTCTCTGTCAAGTTAACAGTGCTTTTAACTGTAATTAAACTTGCTTGCAAGTGATATGCTTGTTTACATATGTTGAAACTATGTTGTTGTTAGAAAGCTGACAAGTTGAACTCTTTTGTTTACGATAGTTTATACATGTAAGTAGTTGGACTCAAACGAGCCATCGCACGAATAAAAGTTTGTTTCAGTCGATGTAGTTACATTTTGACGTGGCAAAATGAGTCTAATAGCGTGGTTGTTGACAGGCATTAAAGAGATAATGCGCATGTCAGGAAGTCATTGTTTGCCAGCAGTTGAAATGCTTATCGATAGGAAATCTAGCCCAAAGGTACGAAGTTCGGAAAAATTCGTGGATATAATATTTTCGAGGTTGCGTTTCTAACCTCGAAAACCTCGAAAATTAGATACCTCGAAAATTTCCCGGTATACGGTATCAGGTCCCAGGTCTGGGTATAGACAGGATATGTCTCAGGTCAGGTCAACATACAAACTTGACAGGTGAGGTCACAGGTCAACCCATAGACATATTTCTACCGTAACATGCTGCTACGAGGAAGCCATCATGACAAGCCATCCTAAGATAAGACAAATAAGTATTCAACCTATGATACAGAATTATTTTCCTATAATTTAATAAAACCGCTATGATGTGTGATACTGATGTTTTATACCATGTAATTAAATAAATACACACCATCCAATGGAACTGAAGTTTGATTGTCATGAAATACTCAACAATGGTGATGTTATAAACCTTATCACTGATCAGATATAAAATGTTTAACAATGTATGACATCAGTGTTCTGTATTAATCATTCAGATATGAAATACACTATAAATATGTGATTATTATCTTAAACTTTGACCTCCATCTCATATGTATTTGTCAGTGTATGATAATAAATATCAGAAATATCACCTGTACCTGGTCTGGTACAAATACTCAACAAAGTAAGATATGTGAAACTTGTCGTAAACCTGGACATCGGGCTGACACCTGATACAGCTCCTGACTCGGTCACAGAACCTTGTTGTTCAGAAATGGCTATGAAGTCCACAGTTTTGTCAATTTGTCAATGAGATTCAGACTCCCAGCATCAAACAGTCTCACAATCACAAAGAGCATTTTAACAAGTCAGTGTTATAATGTGCATATCTGTTGTCATCTTTTGAGCTGTCGACTGCAACAGTCATTATCAAGTCGAACTAGTTGTTCAAAAATCACATCTGATTGTCATGTGTTCTTCTTATGCCTGAGGAAGAGTCCTTCAGATTTCTCATGTTTGTGTGAAAGATTCTCTTCTTTCTAACTGTCAGTTGTATTTCCATGTCATTGAGCAATCATGGCGACACTGTTCAATACTTTTCAGTGCTATCATCAATACTGTTATCTTCCCTTGAGTCGTCTACATCAACCCCACTGTCGAGACCTGACTCCGTCACAACCTCTGTAAACACATCTTCGGGACACTCGTCTATTTTGGTATGAGGCCCTGAGATGTGATTTTTGAGCAGATCCGGGATGAACCCTTTGTTCAGCTTTGACACTGTACCAAAGTGACTGTCAACTTCAATGTTTGTGACTTCACCAAGTTTGGCAACAGTTTGAAGCACTTCTGATGATGCGATACGACTGTTTGTCCGACTGAGTCGTACAGTACTGCTTGACGCAGGGAACACACTGGTGTCTGATATCACGCTCGGCCGGCGGGGATCGCGGGACCGACACATGCTGAATTTTCCACAATGTTCCTTGAATATTCTCTTGAAGGCTGCTTTAAATTCATTGTTTTTAAAGGCATACACCCATGGATTGACACCACTGTTCAGAAATGCTAAAAACGATAAATAATTTCTGATCCAGTCATTAACAAACACATTTGCAATAACTTCACTGAGTAAACAAGTCAAATATGGCAGCCAAAGAAAAAGAAACACTCCCATCACTAATGCCAGAGTTTTGGCATATTTGGTATCTTTCATGATATATCTCATTTGTATATTGTGTCGGACAGAAGATTCCACTGCTGCGATAGCCGGGCATGATGGCGGGCCACAATATATATCCTAAAATAGCAAAAGAATATTGCAAGGCATGCTGGGGCAAATACCGCACTGAGAAAAAGCACATGCGCATTACTGTGAAGCAGTCGAAATGAGCAAGGTTCATTGTCGATATCTATGTCTTCATGCCAATGGCTAAACAATGGCAGCCAAGCAATTGCAGCTGAATAGATCCAAGATAAGGACACTAGAATTGAAATCTTCTTCACAGTCATAACACTCACATACTCAAGAGGGTTTACAAGGGCTGTGTAGCGGTCATATGCAATGGCTGCCAAGGTCAAAATGGACACCCCACATGCCATCATCAAAATGCGATTTGGTGACAAACACAAGAAGATGTCGGATATGTTGTTTTTCAAGATGTCCACACTAATCACAAAGGGTATGACGAGTGCTATAAAGATGTCTGCAGCAGCCAAAGACACAAGGAAATAGTTCGTTGGAATCTGAAGCCGTTTGAATTTACTGACTGCAAGGATTACCAAAAAGTTGCTTCCAAGAATGAACGGCACCAATATGGCTGTTACCACAACGCCCACAATTTCCTCAATCTCCCAGATCGCATTAGGGTTTGTTGTCACACAAGGTTGCGTAGGAATATTCGCCTCCGTCTGTGTTTCCAGTAACCTAGGAAAGTCATTGTTCACGTTCTGATTGGCAATGTTTATTTCTATTTCCTCCACAAGAACCATGGTAGTGCTTGCTGACAACTGTTCCTCAAGAAGAAGCAAACTAAAGTTGATGGGTCATAGCTTCAATGGTCTTGTCTCTCATCTGGAATAGACAGAAAAAGATTAAGTCTCTTGTTCATAACACAGTTTACATAGTTTTGAAAACATGATTCACATTGTTGTTTAACACCGCACTCAGCAATATTCCAGCTATATGGCAGTGATCTGTAAATAATGGAGTTTAGGACCAGACAATCCAGTGATCAACAACATGACTGACTGAGTTTGGTTTTACGCCACTTTTAGCAATATTCCAGCAATATCACGGCGGGGGACACCAGAAATGGGCTTCACACATAGTACCCATTGGGGGATTCGAACCCGGATCTTCAGCGTGACGAGCCAACGCTTTAACCATTAGGCTACCCCACTGCCTCTCAACAACATGAGCATCAATCTATGCAATTAGGATACGATGACACCCGATCCTGTTGATTGCCTCATACACCAAGCATGGGTTACTGAATATCAATTCTAACCCAGATCTTCATGGGTCACTATTTCACAAACAACATCAAGTATAACTGATTTTAAAAACATTAAATAAAACATGACTTTTCAGAAAGCTGAAAATAGCCCATCTGATAAAAAATTACAAATAAAATGGAGTATAGATGCAAAATTAAATCTATACAAAAGTAACCCATAGCCAGCAAGAACATGGAAATCAGCAGACCTACATCAAAAACACACTACAGCTGTATCAGCGATGAACCCTGCAGCAGCAACAGCAGCTCAAGTGAAGCCTGCTTCCTGGTATATATTATATAAGTATAAAACTGTCTACAGTTACTGTCCGGCTATGTGGAGCATGTGATCACTGCTGTTACACCATTGATCATTTAGGGCGGAGCCAGTTTGTCACCAAGACAGCACAGGAAATGAATGTTGTTATACAGAAACATTTCCTTATTCATTAACAAGACTAAAATTATAGTTAAAAAAAAGAATGTGATGTTGATAATTTAAATTTTTATAGTTCCTGGTGCTGAAGGTATGAACAATACATATTTGCTGAAGAAATCAAATATATCTTACAGCAATTCTGGCTATTAGTAGCAAATTATTTCTTTAATCTCTTAAATTAGTAAAGAAATATAAAAAATATTAAAACCCTTCAACGAGTAGTAGTTTATTTAATATAATTCCTCAAACAGTTCAGAATATGCAATTAAATTATTTGTGTCACTCAGTTGACTGGTCATAAAATACTGGAAAATCATTAAAAGTGTAACAATGCATTACTTTTTGTCCCTATTTGATAAACAGTTTCTCTTTTCAAACTCAATTGTCATGCATGGCATTCCTAGATTGAAAAGTCTGAAGTTAACAACGGAGAAATGACCAGCCTTCCACACAACATGATGCAAGTGTAAAATCAATTCATCTTAAGACAACAGCAGACCAGTTATTCAAGACTTTTATCACAGATCAACCATATTAATAAACCATGCTAGTGCAATTCAAAATCAAAACTTTCAAATCTCAAATCTTTCCAAATATTACCTGATACAGAAAGAATCCCACACGAATCCAACACAAATCATGGTATCAGTACTACTGCAATGTTTCGTGAAGCCATACAACAGTAAATATGAGAACTGCATTGTGGGAAAGTAGACCTAACCCCCAGGTGACTAGCGTGGAACTAAGTATAGCCAATTATCTCACTACCGGCTATTTCTGGAAGATATAGTCTTCTTTTACCCATGAGCTCAAACCGAGTATATATTTACTGTCTATTTCATGATTTCAACCTTCTTGCCAACTCCCTCAGCCTAAGGGGTTTTCGTACAATCAAATCTGATGTGTGTTAATGTTCAGACAGAGGCTCTAAAAGCCCAGATGGAAGTGATTGCAGGATGTAGTACTAAATATTTGTCTGTGGGCTGCTAATGAGAGCTAATTCTGGGATCTGTAGTAAATCCAGAGCTCTTCTTCCCAACCACAAATTGAACAGAATTATACAAATGAAACGGAATGACTTTCTCAGACAATGTTAAGAGACCTTATTAACTACGCAGTTTTAAGTTTGTTTATGTTAGTTTTATCTAACACCTACGTGTAAAGACAATAGAAGCATGATGTCAATTGAGAAAGATTATTTGATACAGACATGTGTGGATAAGAGTAAAGCATTAATCACTCTTACTGAAAATATTGAAATGAGTGAGTGAGTGAGTTTAGTTTTATGCCGCATTCAGCAATATTCCAGCTATATGGCGGCAGTCTGTAAATAATCGAGTCTGGACCAGACAATCCAGTTATCAACAGCATGAGCATCGATCTGTGCAATTGGGAACCAATGACATGTGTCAACCAAGTCAGCGAGCCTGACCACCCGATTTCGTTGGTTGGCTCTTCACGACAAGCATGGGTTACTGAAGATCAATATTCTAACCTGGACCTTCACTGGTAGTATTGAAATGACTACAATTGTAACTGGTAATAATAATCAGAATAGCCATGATGATGATGATAAAAATGTCACAAAAATAATTATACTAATAAGCAAAATATCCTTTATCCCAAAACCTTCTATAAAATTTTGAAGAAAAATTTATAAAATTAGATTTCCCCAATGAAGTACAATGTACTTACAAATCTCTACAATCAGATTCTGTTATAATTATCACCAGCCTATCTAAGTGCAATAAATAATCCTAAATGGAAACTTGAACATAAAATTATAAATGCAAACAACAGAACTGATGATAAATACAAACCCAAGATTACTAATGTGCTTCTTAGCCTGTCTGACGATGTGAGACTGATTAATTGCGAAAACCCACCATGCTGAGTATATTTTATCCCTCAGGGTGTGAATGACAACTACTTTCACAATGGTCATTCCACAAACACTTGCATTGGTCAAATGATCATAGCAAAGTGCTGCAAGGCAGGATTTTACATTTATTACTTTCACACCTAGATGACAATCTGAATGCTGCAGGCATATATCCATGCCATTGTATACCTCCATTATTGCATCATGAGGATTCCTCATAGTTCCCAAGTTTGTTCCAACATTTCAAAATTTATGACATAGGATGCAATTAGTGTTTGTAATTGCACGCCATTCACCACAAATAGCACTGACCTTTCAACTTTGTGGTCTTCATAATAATAATTATGCAACAATATGTACTTATTCAGGGGTGGAAATAACTTTAAAATTGCTAGTGTACTCGATACAGTGGCACATGTAAAATCACTAGCCCTGATAATTTTTCCACTATACCGGCCGTTTTCTTGTTGATTTTTAAAATAAACAACATAATTAATATTGGAAAGTCAACTGGACACCGGTACAGTTTGATATGCAAATTTGCTTGCCCGACAGAAAAAAACACTGGACTCGGGCGTCAGGCAATGGGTTATTTCCACCCCTGTTATTGAAATGTGTGAGTGTGAGCTTAGTTGTACCCCACTTTTAGCAACAGTCCAGCAACATCACAGTCGGTTATCAAAATGTGAAAGTGTCACAGGTAATAGAGAATATGACTCTTCTAGTTTTCTCCACAACATACAATAGAAAATGTCACACCAATCTGCTGAAAATGTATGTATGAGAAATAAGCAAACTGATTAAAATATTTTATATACTTTAATAAAGATATTTCTAAAAGTTTTATATAACACTGCATTTAATGTCAGACTAAGGATGATAGCCTCGTTATACACCCTGATAACAGTGAAATACACATCAATATTGGTTGGCTGGTTGTTTAATGCCTCACTCATCAATATTCAAGCTATATGGCAGCGGTCTGTAAATAATCTGGACCAGTCAAACCAGTGATCAACATCATGAGCATGCAATTGGTCAACCAAATCAGCAAACCTGAACACCCGATCTTGTTAGTTGCCTCTTACGACAAACATGGATTACTGAACACTAATTCTAACGCGGATCTTCATGGGTCGCAAGTCTAAAATAATGTGAATTAGGAATGTTTATTTCCAATTTGGGCAATATTCACTGACACCAGCAGCTGACTACTAAATGTCAGCCTCTGTATAGGTCAATATAAATCCCTGCTTTTACATGATAAGTAGACTTATCTCTCCAACAAATAATCCTCCTATTTATATATCAATTTATAGAATTGTTAACTTCTTAATCATACTCTGCTAAGTAGTTCATTCAAGTATTGAGTAAAGTAAGACACTTGTGGATAGCACGCTATAAACATCAATCTGATAATCTTTACAGTGACGTACGATTAATCCTCTTAAAGACACACTTCCACAGGATATGTCACTTGTTGTACCACACCATGATGCTCAGCTAGATGCTGGGGTTTGCCACTGAGAACCACAGGGGGTTCCTGGTATGGGGATTAAAATAATGCTTTCTCGCACACATAACATGTCAGGCATATTTTGTAGAAATCATTCATATTTAAACCAGCAGGTCCCAGTGTTTTCACTTCCTTCCATCCGTATGTATAAAAAATTAAATTTCTGTACCATAGAATTTGATATTATTAATATTAACAGTTAAATTTTATTAAAGAATTGTTTACGATTTCACAAAGGTGTGAGTGAGATGGTGGTTTGTTGCCTGAGTGAGTGAGGTTTTGAGCCACTTTAAATAGTATTAGTGAGTGAGTTTAATTTTAACAGGTTTCAGCAATATCACAGCGGGGGGAGACACCAGAAATGGGCTTCACATATTCTACCCATTTGGAGAATCAAACCCAGGTGTTCCGCATGACAAGCGAACTCTTTAACCACTGGGCTACCCCACCACCCCTTGAATATAGTATTAGAGTCAGCTTGATGTAGCTAGAAAAGCCCAATACAATACAGGTCTTTGACTTTACCAGTTGGGTAGCCAAGTGGTTAAAGTGTTCGCTTGTCACGCCAAAGTCATAGGTTCGATTCCCCAAGGATACAACATGTGAAGCCCATTTCTGGTGTCACTGCAGTGATATTGCTGGAATATTGCCAAAAGCAGCGTACAACTGAACTCACATATCACTCACTCACTTGGGTGAAACATTAAGCGTGGCTTTAGTTCTAACAAAATGTAAATATAATCATGATAATTCTTGTATTTGGACCAGCAATCATAGTTTGGACATACGTAAGGGACAAAACTCCGCACATGAAATGAAAGTGAGTAAGTCAGTTAAGTTTTATGCCGCACTCAGCAATATTCCAGCTATATAGCAGCGGTCTGTAAATAATCATGTCTGGGCCAGACAATCCAGTGATCAACATTATGACCATTGATCTGCACAATTGGGAACCGATGACATGTGCACCGAGTCAGCGAGCCTGACCACCCGATCCTGTTAGTTACCTCTTACGACAAGCATGGGTTACTGAAGATCAGTTCTAACCTGGATCTTCACGGGTTGAGAGTAAGTAGGCCAGCTGGGACACCCAAGACAACCCACTGCCTGATAATTACAGGACATGTGCCAGAAGCATTGCTGATAAGGTCATTCTCAGATAGGGCAAACATGAACACTGAGTGTTATCATTTCTAAATCTTGAAAAATCTATAAAAACAGAACAAAATTATGGATTAAAGTAAAAGAAATGAAACAAAGAATTCAAAGCAATATGCTCATTTGAACCACATAGTAACATTCTGGGATTAACATTATTCAATATGGTTAAATAAAAACAAAGGAATACTAATAATGGCAGAATACCATCATAATAACTAATGTCAAGATTTAGGGAAACTACTAGTATTTATAATAATTGTTACCGATTCAAAGCAAACATGTTTTTGAAAAGAAGAAACTCTCTATTATGATAATAGACCATATCCCACGAAAATAAAAATATATATCTTTTCCAATGAACTGTTAGGCTTTTAATAATAAAGTATAATATATTAATGTTGAAATATTTTAATTTTTAACATAAATGCCTGGAATATCATGTTTGACTCAGGTGATCATTTCTTAACATGACAATGATGACTGCGAGCTGCTATTCTAAAAATATATTGCACTGACATCCCAAATTTAATTTCTGAATAAACATTCACCTTAAAATTTGTAAATATATTGACCTACCTGTCGTTCTGCTACAGTTTTCAGATCTACACCATAGACCATAATCAACAATTGACAGTATACAGACAATGTTCCTCCATAATGTCCTTTCCAGAGCAACCGACACTGCAAGTTGTACTTTAAGATTAAGTCATTGTCCTTGTCACTGGTTTCACATATATTGCTTGATCATCAAGAACGTAGTTTCCAGACAAGTCAACATTGGGTACGTAGTTGGACAGCTGGAGCTTAACAGTGTCATCTCGTAACATGTCCCGATCAGCACATCGTTTACTACCAGACATATACTAGCTCATTGAAAATGTCAAGTACTATTTCCTGATCAACTGTTCTCAGTCTTAACAATAAGAGGGCCTATACTTCAGCCATCAATACAGTCAAACTGTATCAACACCTTCATGACTGACACAGGCTTCTTTGTATGCAGTCAGATACTAAATTATTTGATGACAGACACAGGCATCTTTATATGCAGACAGAAACTGAACTATTTCACAGACACAGGCATCTTTGTATGCAGACAGAAACTGAACTATTTCACTGACACAGGCATCTTTGTATGCAGACAGAAACAAAACTATCACACTGACACAGGCATCTTTGTATGCAGTCAGAAACTAAACTTTTGCACTGACACATACATCTTTGTATGCAGTCAGAAACTAAACTATCAGAATGACACAGGCATCTTTCTATGCAGACAGAAACTAAATTAT